AGCTCATGCTCCCGCTGGGCTTTGGCTGAGGGGTGACAGCCAACAGGCCCTTCTCCCAAAGGACAGCTGAGAGCAAGAGAGGCAAGGGCTTCAGGGGTCCACTCCTCAGAGAGCCCCCAAGGACACCCTGGTAGCCACAGAGCCCGGTAACTGACAAATAAACCCCACCCTGCTCTGTCACAGCGATACTGATTGCTGCAGGATCTCTTTCCTACATTGTTTCTACAACCCGGACCCTCTGCAGCCAAGGAGGCTCCAGAGTCAAGAAAAAACGGTGTGATTTTGGCACCAGAACAGTGTGATTTGGCACTGAACAGTGTGATTTTGGCACCAGAACAGCACACGGTTTCTTGGCCAGGAAGCAGCAGAGAGAGGGAAGTAATATGGGAACAAAACTGAACCAGCTCTGGTTTGTTAGAAACATGCCCTTTTTTGAGAGGTATGTTTGCTTTCATAACCAGCTGGAACAGGTTCTTTCACAGCTACTGTAAAAATCTCATAGTCTGGCAATTATTAAATTTGGGGCAACATAAGATGAGTTGCATTTAATACTTAGGTGACTGAGCTCCCTCTCCCAAGGAAGCCTTGGTTCAATCAAAAGCCCTAAAATTTTTCAAGGGAGTTGCAGCCTACCTCTGCTATGTCAGTACACAAAAGTTGTCAGTAGTTTCATTTTTCAAACAGAAGCTATCTACTTATTCTCTATTAAAGAAAGAGTTGCATTTAATACTTAGGTGACTGAGCTCCCTCTCCCAAGGAAGCCTTGGTTCAATCAAAAGCCCTAAAATTTTTCAAGGGAGTTGCAGCCTACCTCTGCTATGTCAGTACACAAACAGAAGCTATCTACTTATTCTCTGTTAAAGAAAAACATCTTTAATGGTGCTGCTAGAGACAGTCCTGAATCAGATCCTAACAGCAGCTACTGTGAGCGGGACTCAGCTTAGGCTGTTCTGAAGTGTCATGTTAAGAGTCTTACTCAAGTTTTAAATTATCACAGAATGGTTAGGGTAGGAAGGGACCTTAAACATCATCTAGTTCCAACAAGAACTATGTTCTAACTATGTTCTTCTGAACCAAAAATCTGTTTTGAAGTAAAAGTTATATTTTTATAAAAATGTAAGTTTCAAATACATATTTTAACTTAACCTAGTCAGTGCCTAAGATGTTAACATGATCCTGATCAACTATTAGATCTAAATTTTCTGATAGTTTTGAGGAGACCAGTTCTAGGCTTCCAATACTTACCTATCTTCTCTTTGGAGCACTCAGTATTTACACCTTTTTTTGGCCAGGAAAGTTAAGGTTCCCTGAACTTAACTGAGGATAAGTGTAGTACAAAGTATCTGAAAGACTCTTTTTGAAGTAAGTAAGTTAGTTTCTAAACCTCCAAGCTGGCATACTGTTACTAGTTAGGTCATTAATAGATGCCTTTCATTATTTCAGTTGTTTGAGTACAGTCTAACAAACATTTGCTTTAGAAGCAACTGTCAATAATCACCTCTTCAACATTAACGTAAGTGGTTGCTCTGTATAATCATACATTAACTAGTATTCACAACATACTTCTGATTCATTCTCAATTCAAATAATCAATGTTAACACTGTTAAAGGACTAGCTGCACCTTTATTTGACTGCACTTGATCTCATGTTTTTGTTCTTGGCATTATTTTTGTTTATAAAAAATCTAGCAAGTCCCAGCTTATGCATGTCCAGTTTACTCTCCTGTTACACTAATTGTGGCGGTATTAACTTCTCCCGATGAGCCAATAGGACCCTTTATCATTAGCATTTCATTACTGAACAGCTCCTACCTCTTTTCTAGGACCCTTTCTAATCATCCAGGTATTCTCTCCTTCACTTACAGGCTTTTTCCCATTCTGGTCCTAAAATCTGTGTGTGTACATACATATGTATATATTTATTTTAAAGACACAGGCAACATTAATGAAACTAGTAGTGTTTTGCACTGTCATTTAGCTGTCAAGCCTCAGATGAACAATGGTTAGAACAAGCCTTTACCTATATTTTAAGCACATTGAATTAAGAACAAAACAGAACAAAACCAGGAAATAGGGGTAGGAAAATTCCAGCTCATCAAGCTGGCAACTACTTTCTGCAGCTGATGCAATTCCTCCACTGCACCACTATGCGTGGCTGAAGCATCGCTCACCAAAACATGCGTGCTCAGTATAAAAGGACTGCAGGGAGACAGGACATCAGAAACGTGCAATGAGGAGAGACTGTTCCTGTTTTGGCGACTACATTTTGCCTAGACTTGTAGTTATAGGTTGAGGTCCTTTTGAACCATCATTACTAAAAGCACTACAAGTCACTCATGAAGAAAGCAAACAACCCAATACAACTTTTATTTTTGCCCTTCTTTTGGAGAAGATTCTCACTCTGTTTAAGCATCTAGTTTTTCAGGGATTTTAACTAATATCAACTTCATTAAAGAAACCCAAACTGAGCTTTGCTTGCAGTCTGCTTCCCACTACCATGTTTCTTCAAGGGCCTCTCATATGTATACAGGGAATAGACTGAAGATTGGATAAATTTTGCTTGGAAGCCAGTCCCTGCCATCTGTGTCCTTGAGGATCCTGCAGCTCTATCATATTACAACCATGATGCGTGATCAAACTACAGCACCGCTCCATCACATCAGGTATTTCTGGTCACCTAATGGGTACAACTTCATAAAGTCAGACTAAGCAGCAGTCTTTACAAGCTTTACAAGCTTTGCTTACGTAGGAGAGGGGAAAAACAAACAAACAAAAGACACCCATCATTTAAGTCACATAACTTCCAAAGAAAAAAATAAAAATCAAACCCTTTATTTTCTTTTAAAAAAATACATATTTGCAGTCATGTGATAGTTATCATAGTTGTTACCAGTTTACATAGTTCCAAGAAACTACACAGTGCTCTAGATTAAATATTTAAGATAATTTAGTATACGAATGGCCTCATTAATTTCTGGATTAGAAATGGTATACATCAGGGTGTGCAAAAAACTTGCAAGTCAGAAATTAATGCTGCAGTGGTGTAGTTTAAGTAACATTATAGACACATTAAACTTTTGGTCATGAGTAATTGTATACAAACCATAACAGTATTAAAATACATATTTTCATAAAAATACCATTGTGACACTTCATATCTAAATAAGACATTTTTAGAAAGATGGTATGAAATATTTATCATACAAAAGCATATTCTTACAGCAGGATTATGTCTTAAGTTTTTAAAAATTACAAGCACTTAAAAGCAGAATTTTTTTTATAACTGTGATCCACTTTTTATATAAAAGTGTATGCTGTGTGTACACTATAGCATTAAGTTTATTCTTCTTGAAACTGGTCCAAGTACAACTTTGCATGTGGAGCAGCTAAAGTTCTTATATACCACTGAAACTTGCTCAAGAAGATAAATATCACATTCTTTATGCATGTCTGCTATATGCATATAACTGAGAATAATTTTATGCCACAGTTTGACCTTTCCATAGGCTTTTTTCAGTTGAAGACAACATCTTCTCCCTCCAGCCCCATTACCTTCTCAAACACCCTACTGGTATAAGTAAAAAAATAAAGTAAAAAAAAATTAAACATTTTAACAGGAGCTGACTGCTATTATCTCCAACTGAAAGAGATTGTATATCAGCTAACTCTACTGAAATAACTGATTTAAAAATCCATATTAGAACACTGCTGTGTTTATTTCCTGTGATGAATACTGCATACTTACATTTACTCTAGTGATCCACTTTAAATCCTGAATGTTAGCAGTTTAAAACCGTCAATTAGTGTACAATTACTTTATATTTAAGGCATGTGAGTAAGAGCACCCTAATCAACTGACATTGAATGGAGGAGACTTCAGGAAATTTTTGTCAGCTGCCTTCTCTTCTTTAAAGATGCTAAATTAACATGGGTTTGAAGAGATGATAAGGAGGAGAAAGGAAGAAAGTTAAGAACCTTTCTGATTACTTCAGGTGTCCCTGAAACAGTTTTAAAAGCAATGATTTACTGGTCAAATACTTCAACTAGAATATATTGTGACCAAGTCACATAATATGCCAGTTGAGTTTATCACCAGATGAAAACTAAAAGGAAAAAAAAAAGAAAAGAAAAGCAATCAGATAAGATCAAGAGGACAGTACAGGATCAATATTGCCTACCCCTGAGTTAACAGGATTGGGTATAGCAGCACCAACATTCTGCAATGCCAGCATTGCACCATGGTCCTATACTGTGGTATAGTCTCATATGTCCACAGATTTTTCTTTAAGAGCACTTATTTCAAACATTACTAGACACAGGAGTTCTTTTAGTTGCATTGGTATTTAAGCAGAAAAAACAGTTAAATTAGTATAGTGGGCTATACTATTAGTACAGTCAATTTGTAGTGTTAATATACTATTTAGATCTGTGTTCCGAAGTTGGTAAGCCACTGCCTTCTGTGAAACTACATTTGCCTTTTTTTTTGCCTGCACAAAAAAAGCTCAGTGGAGATCATGTTGTGCCTGTTTTGAGCAAGATGTCCTGTAAATCATCTGGAAGTGCTAGTATAATGTCATTGATGTGTGTCTGCAGCTTTTTCAGAGTGTCAGTTTTCACAGGAAGCTGTTCTCTGTCAGCCTGCAACTGCAAAGGTACAATAAGACATCATTTCTACTAAAAAGGCAAGTTTACCTTAAGACACACCCAAATGAGATATTAGCACATCTGGAAAATGAATTCCTCATTTACTGACTGAGTAGGAATTTGGACAATAGCAGGCTTCCTCAACAACCACACAACAGCACGAGCTAATGCTGATTTGGACTTTCAGTAATCTCAAGACAGTTTGGTTTTCTGCTTCCCTGAGGATTCAGCGTTTCTCCCACTTCGATCAGTCACAAAGTTCCAACCAGTTTTTAAAAAAGACAAGTCAGTGCAATGCTTCCCACGTAGCTGGATGATGTTGGGTAGATAGCTAACTCTCCAGTCATGGCTGAAATGAATTGGTTTCGTTTTAAAAAAACTGAATGACTGATTCCTTGAGCTACCTAGATCTTAAGCAATATTTTCATTTAAGTACCCGTAAACACAACTAAATTTGCTTTTATCTAGTTAAGTCAGGCAAATTTGAGCCATGTTCAATTCAGTTACTTACCAGTTTATTCTTTAACTTTAAGACAAGATCCACTGTTTCTACTTCAGTATGCTTCTGACTCCAGAAAACCAAGTTCTGAAAGAATAAAAATTAATCATTGAAATATTTATGGCAACATATGTAATTTTCAGAAGTACTGTTAATTTACACCTACTGTGCAGAATGAATCTTCTCCTTTTCCTTATTCTCCTGCCATTTACTAAACTCATTTCACTCATTTACTGTCTCTACTGTGAACTGCAAAATCTGCTTTATTTGCATGTTTGCCCTGGACTTAGGAAAAGTGGAGATGAGAACATAAACACAGTACAAAGGAAAAAAAAAATCATGCCAAAGAGGCTTAGTTTCAAAAATAGTATCTACGAGGCAAAATGGCAGTGAATGTTTACCAAATCCAATCTGCCAGCACAATAAAATATCAAAATAGTGCCAGGCAACACTTCTTTGTAGGGCATTAAAGGAGATGACAGAGTCGATAACTAGTAAAATATATTTGTTAAGTGAATTTTCTTATGGAAGTTCTGTTCCCTTACCCCTTTACTATTCACCTATTAAAGACATGCTCATGTACAGAAAGATGTAACACTTGGATCAAAAAAAAAATAATCAACAGAGTCAGTAATAAATTTATGACACATTCCCTTTCCTTACAATAAATTAATGTCAAATATAGTTGGATAGACTCTAGGTGATATAATTGACGAAGGTATTGCCCTGCAAGTTATTTGGACTGCTCTATTGGAACAATGTATTTGGGTTGCTACAATTTACTCTTTAGGAATTGACAAGGCAAGGGTAAAAATTAATGTCTTTTTAACAATAACCAGCACAATTTTTGTTTGTTTGTTTTAAAGCTGTGGTGCTGACTTATGTTTTTGTTCTTTGTTTTCCCTCTCGGAATTGACAAAGCAAGGGTAAAAATTAATGTCTTTTTAACAATAACCAGCACAATTTTTGTTTGTTTTAAAGCTGTGGTGTTGACTTATGTTTTTGTTCTTTGTCTTCCCTCTCTAGCTGTACAATCTCTTCTCCTCCTGCTATACCTTTCTTTATCAGTTGTTCTGACTCAAATTATACTGATAGCCACTTCAGCTTCTTAAGTAAAGAAGGGATCTTACAACGTAAGATAATTTCTGTGGCATTTTGTTATATATCAATAAACAGATTTCACTTCTCAACTTCCAATTACTATGTATCAGTTATAGGCTTATTTACTATCTATATCTAATTACTTGTCAATTTTCTGTGGTACTCACTGAGTCTATACCTTCAAAGCTACAAACTATATCACAAATAAAAACATGCTGGAATGCCAAGGAAGGAAGCTGAATTAGATAACACCAAATAAGAGGAAACCCCCTTTTTTTTTCTGGAGGGGGGAATATTCCATTTCAAAATACACAACAAAACAAAAAAGGATTAATGATACATTTTACAAATGATGACAGTCATTATAAAAAAAACAAACTGTATTTCATGTTCTCTTTTGCTATGTTAGTTCTAGCTTTTTCTTGGTTAACAAGTTTATGTTTTGCTAGATCAGACTTGACAAAATTGTCCTCGTTTTTATGGTCAACTAGTGAAAAAAGCAGGAGTAAAATGGACTTGAAGGGGAATATATTTTTATTACAATAATCATAAGCACACATTTTTCTAACCTCATTACAAAGTGCTTCTAAATGAAGGGCCTCCAACTTCTGTGTCATTTCTTTCTGCCGGCTCCTAAACCAACCATCAAAGTTGGGTGATTTCAAAAAATGCCTGGTAAAACACCAAAGCAAAAGATATTTTAATTACCGCTTTGATAACACCCAGTTTTCTACATAATCAAATGTAAAGTAATTATGCTTGAGGTTGAAGAAGGTATTAAGACCCTTCCCCTGTTGACTTTCTAATGTTCTGAAGTGGAGTATAACAGGTGCTTCTATTAATCAAGACAAGGATTGAGAAAACAACTCCTTTCAGACAAGGAGTATGAAAGACAATGAAGATTAGGAATTTCATCAGGAAGAAAGCAAGGCTCAGTTGGAAATATCCTCATTTTTATCTTTCAGTTTGATTAGAAGGCGAAATCAAGTCAGAACCAGAAATAAAACCACAAATAATACTGCAATACAGAGATGTGTAGTGTTAGTAGCATCTTATGAAAACAGGTTACAGAGAAAGAGATTTAAGTAAAGTGTACTAAGCCCTACAAATTCCTATTAAAGCATATATTCTAAAAGTAAATCTTACTCAAATCAATACCGGTAATAAGTTTGCTCAGGAAAAGAGCATTTGTATTACTGATCTGTCTTCACTGGTATAATTTAATTTTTTTTATGCTGATGAAAGAAATGACCTGTAAAGTCCTATCCAGTCTCCTTTTAAACCTGACGTGAGCTGTGGTCCTGCTTTTTCCAGTGTCTTCATGAAGTCATCTTGGCTAAACTGCCTCAGCTGTGGTGGACTCTATGGAAACAAACAAACAAAAAAAAATCAGCAGCATACCATAACTGTTTTCTCTCATCACCAATTTCCAGCTCATTTAAACTATATGTCCTTACCTTCCATGGTGATATGCATTTTTGCAAAGGCATTAGGCTTGCCACATAACGTTCCTAGGGAAAGGAAAAAGAAAGGCTGCTTGCATAACCGTTATTAAAGACACACAGTCCATGTGTTATGTTCACTTATCATTTCTGACCACAGCACTTTCTCTTCTAAGTACTGGTAAAGGGTGGGGTCATGCATATTTACCCCATGAAAGCAGAAGGAGCTTGTCTTTGTATTCTTCCCCAACTACAGAACTTTAAGTCAGCAAGATTCAAGAAGGACATGAGGGAAAGGAGGACAGGAAGCAAATGTATACATGGAATATATATATCCTGAACTCCCAGCCCTAGTAAAGTATCTCTCTTTGGTGACAGTCCACAGGTACCTTCATGTCATGGGCGATTTGAAACATTAATCCCACTCTGTATCAAGTGTTTGGAAGTGATTTTCAGAGTCCCTCATACACATGTTAAATACAGAACTAACCTACAAAACGCTGTATATCAGCTGTGGGCATCTCTGCAGTAGCCCTGCTTGGCAAAGGCAGGGCTAGAGCCCCAGCTGGCCATCTAATGTACGAGTAGTGGAGACATTTCTCAATAAGGCCACTGCTGAAGCTTAACATCTGACAACAGGAAGCAGCTCTGCCTTGCTAGCCCACACAAGCACATCAATATAAGCTGCTATACATTTTGAAAGTGTTTGTACGCAAATGGCCATACATGGCAAAATAGTAAGATAAGTAAATTAATTGCATAGAGGACAAGTAATTAAATGCTCTGTCTGTACAGGGCAGATGAAAGGAACAGAGATGTGCTAAATACAGTTTTTCATGCCAAGCACAACAGCAGTGAGTGCACAAAAATTACTGGAAAAGGGAAAAATTCTCTAAACTTTAATGATTCTCCCCATGTACTCCACTCTCATGAGACCCCAGCTGGAGTACTGCATCCAGCCCCGGGGCCCACAACACAAGAAGGACATGGACCTGTTGGAACAAGTCCAGAGGAGGCCACAAATATGGTCAGAGGGCTGGGGCACCTCCCATATGAGGACAGGCTGAGAGAGTTGGGGTTGTTCAGCCTGGAGAAGAGAAGGCTCCAGGGAGACCTTAGAGCAGCCTTCCAGTGCTGAAAGGGAGCCTGCAAGAAAGCTGGAGAGGGACTTTTTACAAGGCGTGTAGTAATAGGATGAGGGGTAACGGCTTTAAGCTGAAAGAGGGCAAATTTAGATTAGATATTAGGAAGAAATTTTTTTCTGTGAGCGTGGTGAAGCACTGGCCCAGGTAGCCCAGAGAAGCTGTGGATGCCCCATCCCTGGAGGTGTTCAAGGCCAGGCTGAATGAGGCTTTGAGCAACCCGGTCTAGAGGAAGGGGTCCTTGCCCACAGCAGGGGGGCTGGAACTCAATGATCTTTAAGGTCCCTTCCAACCCAAACCTTTCTATGATTCTGTGAACCTTCTCTTTACTAGGCTAAACAGTCCTGGCTCCCTCAGCCCTTCCTCATATGAAAGATGCCCCAGTCCTTCAATCATTTTAGTGGCCCTTCACTGGACTCTCTCCAGTACCTCCATCTCTCTCTGGTACTGTGGAGCCCAGAAGTGGACATAATACTCCAGGTGTAGCCTCACCAGTACTGAATTAATGGGAAGGAACATCTCCTTCACTCTGCTGGTAACACTCCTCCTAATGCAGCCCAGGATACCTCTAGCCTTCTTTGCTTCAAGGGCATATGGCTGGCTGATGTTCAACTTCATGTGCATCAGGACCCCCAGATCCATTTCTGCAAAGCTGCCTTCCAGCCTGGCAGCCCCCAGTATATGCTGCTGCATAGGTTTATTCTTCCCCAGGTGCAGGACTTTGCACTTCTCTTTGATGAACTGCACAAGGTTCCTGTCAGCCCATTCCTTCAGCCTGTTGAGGTCCCTCTGAACAGCAGCATGACCCTCTGGTGTATCAGCCACTCTGTTCAGTTCTGTACCATCAGCAAACTTGCTGAGGTTACACGCTGCCCCGTCATCCAGACCACTAATGAAGATGTTGAACAAGACTGGACCCTGTGTTGACCCCAGAGGTACACTGCTAGATACTGGATAGGTCCTGGACTTATTCAGTCAGGCTGCCAAAAAAAGCTACTCCATATTGCATATATAAAAAACCCATTAGTCTAAGAACTCACTAATGGAATAATGAAACTTTCAGTCAATTCCAGAAAATACCGACGAAGAATCACACTCTGTGCTTCTGTAGGACGCTTCTGTTGTACACCCTTAAAAAACGAAATAAAATATCACAACAAGTCTGTTAGGCCAAAGTATGTAAGTAGTTGTGGGTTTTTTTTAAGAATATTTATTCCAGTGTTTCTGTATTAATTTGCCATAACCTTATATATAGCACCCCCTACCCTGGAACCATTAAAGGAAAGCAATACTGTCAAGTTCTTTTGCACAGATATTCATCCCTTCTATTGCTGATTTTTTTATTTTCATGTAAAGAAATGCAAGGTAAGAAAAATGTCTATAAACGAGCTTGTGCAAAACAAGTTTGGAAGCTCTGATTCTCACACACCTCATGCGCAAGATTTCTAGACCAAAGAGACCAGAGTGGGATGGCAGAGGATGGAAAACCCAGAACAGATTAACTGATCAATCATTTCAATTCTCTAAATTATTAAGCTAACTTCTTGAGCTCTACCATTCACGTTGTTATAGAAACTGCTGACAAGGCAGCAGCCCTTCTACAATGACGGTGTATATCTATCAGTTCAGTTATAAACTGGGGCAAAGGAAACAAAATCTAGTTTCATTTCAGTTATGTAGACAGAGCTCAACCTTAAATGAAAACACTGTACACCAGTACACAAAGCAACTTCCATTGAGAAGAATCTTGCAGTATTACCTTTTGTAACTGCTTGATGATTTCTTCATCTTTGTTCAAGTATGGCTTGTAAGAGGTATAAACACCTAAAGAAAAAAAAACAGCATATTGCCAAAGGAAAAGTGGGGTATACTTTTTAAAATTAAAATACTGTAACTCTGAAGCAACTTATTACCAGGTTTGGAGTCCAAAGTTTTTAAGTTCTTCAGTTTTTTCACTTTCACCTGCTTTGGAACTTCACCTGCCAAAACATTTGAAGCCACCTTACTGGAAATCTCCATCTCTAATATTAGATACTACAGTTGATGTGCTACACGTTGCACTGATTTAAGAAACTGATACTTTCATTTGGAAGACTATCCAATATTGTAAGAGGCATTAGAAACGCTGACAAGCAAGTATATATCCAGAAATATCTAGTAAACACATGAATAACAGCATACAGGCTTTTAACTTATATAAGGGTTCCCTGTTGAAAAAAAACAAGCATGAAAAATCAAACCAAAACACCAAAACACCAAAAGAACCACCTTCTGAATCAAAGCAGCCAAGGAAAAATACTGACTACATAGCAGTGAATGACTGTTTCATTAATTTCAAATTTTATTCCATCTTCCTTTGTTCCCCTTAGGGTAAATGCTTTCAATAACAAATCTTTAGTATCTTGGACAAACAAACATTGTATACAAGAAATTAAAACAGTGGCCATGGAGTTAAGTGTTGTAAGAAAATAAATTTAAGTCTCCTTTCCATAGGCCAAACTAAGGGTTTTTTTGTTTATTTTTCAAATATATTCTTCTCCAGCCAGAAGACCCTAAACCCTGTTAATAGTCTTGCAGCCTCAGCAGGACCTTCCTCTTAGATCTAGTAGGATGCTCAACTTCAGAAAAGATAACAGTATAAATTACTATTGAAAGTGCAGAGTGGGGAGAAAAGGGGAAAAAAACCCCAACAACAAAAAAATCACAAGGCCTCTCTTTGTCCCTAAAGCGATAAAATGTAAATTTTTAAAGGCAGGTCAGACAAATACATCCCTAGAACTTCCTGACTAAGCATTTCAAGAGCTGCACCAAAACTTTAGAATTTCATACTCAAAATTGTCTATCAAATTTGAAGACAACCTGTGTCTATGGCTTTGCAGAGGTTTAATAGTTTAATTAAGATTCTATTTTCCAAACCTTAACTACACAGCAGCCAGCTAACTCTGCCTGCTTCCTTCCCTCTCCCCAAAATTCCCCCAAGTACTCTGAAGCACACACGAGATTTTAAAGTAAAGCAACACCTTGCCTTATTATATTGAACACTGTACATAATCCTTAATTCATTTAGTGTATTCATAAATTGAATGTAACTTATTCTACAAAAATGAATTTCATTGTGTATTATCCTAACTGGGTATTTATGCATTCCCACTTTCAGAACAAAATAGTGAACCTGTCACAGCAAACAGCTACATTCAGGAATTTCATATAATAATTAGAGTACTGCAGTATTTTATTACAGGCTAGCATTTAACACGTTATCCAAAGATTACATTAAAATTCTACTCAATCATGTAAGGAAATCATCCAACTTGAATAAACAGTAATTACTGGAATACTGCCAGATTAGAAAAATATTATCAAAACATTTGTCAACAAACAACTTTTTATGTTATTGTAACAGTCAAACTTAGCTTTCATATGGGTCTTACTTTCTGTGCACTTGCTGTGACTGATTTATTACGTTCTACTCATCCTAAAATTAACATCAGTAATAAATCATACTTCTCATTTTAATACCTTATTGGTAGAGATACAAAAACAGGGTTGTGCAAAAGGTAAAACATTATTACTAATGAGTATTACCACCTTTTGCATTTAATATACTAGATTTGGCAATGAAAGACATACAGTACTCGAGGCTAATTTCACCTGACAGATCTACATCCATGAGGATTTGGTTAGTATTACACTAAATTAATTTAACTAAATTACATATGTTTGTAAATAAATAAGCACAAAGTTAGATCTTGTTGCACAGGACTGTAGAAGATATTTGTACCTTACCTGGAAGTTTAATATCTCCAATTCGGATAATGTGAGGCCAGTGCTGAAGTGTTTTAGCAAAAAAAGGATTTGTCACCCCTAGAATGACAGATGGTCTAGAAAAGTAATGTTTAAAATATGACAGTAAGAGCTTCTGTCTTAATTAATACAAAAGGTCAACTTTAATTCTTAACTTGAAATTATTTTCCTCTTGTATTTAAGAGTTACATTCTAAGTTACACATAAGAGCACAGTGTGTTTATCAAAGTTCCAAAGTTTTAGAAAATAGCAAGACAGATTATCTTAAAGTCCAAATGGTAGTGGTTATTCTCTATAAGTGATGACATCTTCTGCTTAGACTCTTGGCTAAATTCTGTCCATTTGCAATGATGAGAACAGGGTATTATCTGATTATTTTTTTTTTCCTTCTTTGTAATGAGCAGGAATCTGACCCATGTTTGAAACACAAATTGCTACTTTTCAAGGTTGATTATAACACACTCTCAGTACTTGAATGTGCATGTCAACGTAACTGCTGTTTGTATGAGACTTCTCAGCAGAGTTACTGCTCAGATTACATGATTGAGACACTTAGTATCCTACTTCATTTCCAACACTTTAGCATTCTTTGTCAAAAAGCAGTTATCAAGTGATGAAGTACAAGCATATTAATAGCCTTGTGCCCAAGCTCACAGCCTGTCAGATTTTTCTGTCTACTCTGTGCTTAGAATCTGTCTTTGAGGATGCACAGGGGCACCCAGAGAACAAGAGGCAGTAAGAGCATAGGGCTGCTGCTACAACATAGGCCTGCAGAATTTGGGATTCACAGCACTAATATGATGAAACACCACCATATTTTTCAGTATAGTGGCTGCTATCCATTTTACAGCCAAATGTTAGATAAGGAGAGAGTGTAACTGCAAGCCTCATTGGAACTGCCATATTAGAAACAGGCATTCTCCTTCTGCCTAGGAATGCCTCAAGTCTAACCTCACTTAACTAGAAAATGTTCTCGTGTGTATTTTGTGGGAACCCAAAAGCAAGATTCACACAGAATTGGTTTGGACCAATGTACACAAATTGACGTTCTTTTACTAACAGGAGGGTCAAAGACCAAGAGTTAAAGTCAAGTGAGGCTTTCATTTACATACACACAAAAATAATAATTCTCCAGGTCAAGGTAAACTGGTAGCAAACCATAAAGAATCTTGTTTCAATGCTACTGGTGATATAATAGCAAGACTTGGTAAGCTACTTGGTCACCTTTAAGAACCTTAATATCATATTTACCAGTACCAATTCCAATTTTAAACCACTGAAGTAATTTCTGAAAAAAAATCTAAACATCAAGATGAAAAATATCCCTTTGCTCCCCCTCTCGCTAAAGGTAATAAAAATGCACTGAATCTGCATGATCTGTATTCTTCCCCTTCTTAGAGCCACTGCTTTAAAAGCGTATTTCCAGTCTTTCCAACTTTTCCGTTGTCTGTAAGAAAGCCAGAGCAACTCTACCTAATGCACATACTGAACAACCTTTCTGTTTTGCTACAGAAGAGCAGATGCAATTTTTAAACATGGGTTACTAAAGTTTAACAAATTCTTCCTGGAATTATTTTTAGAAACTAAATTACATACTGTGTAACTATTCCCATGGAATAGAATCTGAAACACAGTGCCTATGTTTGTATGTTTTTCCACTGCTCTATCTCTGGCAATACTTTAGTTGAGAGGAAAAATACAGTAAAAAAAAACACAAACAATCTGAAAAAAAACCAAAACAACAAAACAACAAAACAAACAAAAAACCCAACACAACAACCACTGCCTCTTCAGACATTAGAAAAAAATTATAAAAATATCAGTGAATCTAACACATGCATTCCATTCCCAAATCAAGTTGCACTTATTTATTTATTAACATATAGTAAGAAATATTGGAGGTGTATGCTCTCAGAATAAGCGTAGGATAAAAAAAGGGGGGGGAAAGTATGTCCTTAAAGCAGTTTCAAACAGAACTGTTTTTGTAGACACATGCTCTTGAAAAAAGAATCTTAATTTCTGAATTATTTACAATGTTTTCCTAACAAATTCAGTGAAGAGATATTTACTTTTAAAATTGTCTCAATTAGGACACCGACTAAATTAACTTCACAAAACAGCTGTATGGATGTTGAATTCTAGAAGTCACTTTCTTTAGTAATTGCTTAAAAATAACAATTACAGCACAATTTCCCAAGGAGCTACAACAGAGCTGGTGTTGCATAGACAAACCCTTACAGAAAAGCACAACTTTTCTAGCTTTCATATATGCAGTTTTACTTATTCTGTACACAAGTATCCTATGAAGCTCAAATGCAGTTTAATAATGACATTGTTTCATAACTACTTTATCCTATCTAACTGGACTGAAAACTTTATAGAATTAATTACCGCACTTTGTAAGATAAACCTTGTAAGTAAGGAGTCTAAATGTAATTCTCTAGTGATAGAAATTCAGAATAGTTAAGCAGAATCTTAAAACATTTATGGTTATGAGTGGCTTTGAGAAATATCTTCACAACAAAGTTTGATTTACTTACGGGGCTTGTGTGCGAGTTGTATATTCTTTGAACTCACTGTCATGTATGGTAAAGTATGGCCTGAAATCACTGCAGTACTTTAACGGTGAAATACAACTGCAAAGTAGAAAGAAGATAAGCTTGTTGTAGGTGTACAGTGCACATTTCATTAAAGAAACAAGCAAATCTAAAATTTGTAATGCTTTGTTATATTCAGATCAAATGAAATTGCACTTAGCTGCAATCTACGATAACTCACTTGATCATCAGTTAGAAAGCTCCACTACATTTACCTAACAAGTGCCAGCACAGTTTCTGAGGATTCTGATGGTGATGGTGCCATCACGACGAGTGGTTCTCCCAGTAGTACTAGTTCCCAAAGCATCTGAATGTGAAAGAACACTGGACAGAAACACCTAGAACCAGATTGAGGTATTTTAATACACTTAACATAACCAGAGGAAATATGAATTTAAGAACTGGATAAAAAGGAAGTTGGCAGTAGCATTTAATAGTAATTTGAAACATATAAAATACTCTTTTAAAATGGAACACTTATTGAACTTGCTTATTTATTGCAGTTTCAGCCTACATGTTGTCTGAATTGGTTTTTAGCCAGCTTTACAGAGAAAGAATATTAAAACCAATACCGATAAACGTTAGCTTGTGAGCTATGAGATATGTGTTACAGAAGCGTCATAAATCTTTGACTTGTGGGAATTCACAACTAGGAATAAATCAGTCCAAACTCCTACCTGAAAAGATCTACTTCATGAACAGTTGGTAAAGCCATGGAGACCTGAGCATCTGCCTAAAAGACATCGCAATGCTTGGTTTTTAGTCATCAGAATACCTAGATATTAAATGAAACAGTTTTCCTTAAATGCTTACAGACAGTAGATGGTATATACTCTCATTATTTACCACTACTGTACTACTGCAGTACATACTACATTATCTCCAAAAGTAACTATTTTTGTGTGCTAGAAGCAAAATCTCCCCCAACACACACACCACTTATAGGCATGCAACTTTCAGTCCAGAAAAGATAAAAAAATACTGAAGCTGTTTTAAACAACAGTCATGCAGCACATAAAGGCACAGACAGATGTGTTTTATCACTGTCTTTTATGGCTGAAGATTTTTAATTGAGATTTCATCCTTAAAAAAAAACAAACCTTCATGCAGCACATAAAGGCACAGACAGATTTGTTTTATAACGGTCTTTTATGGCTGAAGATTTTTAATTCAGATTTCATCCTTAAAAAAAAACAAACATGGTTTAGTATAGAATCATAGAATGGTTTGGGATGGAAGGGACCTTAAAGATTATCAAATTCCAGCCCCCCTGCCATGGGCAGGGACACCTCCCACTAGCCCAGGTTGCTCAAAGCCTCATCCAGCCTGGCCTTGAACCCCTCCAGGGATGGGGCATCCACAGCTTCTCTGGGCAACCTGGGCCACTGCCTCACCGCCCTCACAGGAAAAAAAATTCTTCCTAATATCTAATCTAAGTCTCCCTCTTCCAGCTTAAAACTGTTAGCCCTTGTCCTGCCACTACACTCCCTGATACAGTCCCTCCCCATCTTTCCTGTAGGCCTCCTTTAAGTTACAGTTTCAACCATTAAAATAATGTTCCAGTTCAGTAATTTTGTCAGCCAACTATCCTCTTCCAGGAGCTGGACACCCTCTTCTAAAGTACGTGGGCTAACTGCATACTTTTCATACCTTTTTTCTATGAAGAATCCAACTCAAGACTCCTCCTCAAAGTTTCAAAGACACTGGATTTCATTATTATCAAAGTACATGAGGATTTGCTACCAGTCTTTTATGAAGAACTTTAAAAGAATGAAGGCAGATATTTAGCCTTGTGTTGGGGTTATATACAACAGAAGTATCTAATCTCTACCTGGTGCATATTCTGTACTATCGGTGTTGTTCCAGGCTTGTCACGATATGTTGGAATCCGCAACTTGGAAAGAAAAAGAAAGGTGTTTTTTTTTTCCTTGTATCAAATTCAGCAGAGACTTAAAATGCTGACATACAGATGAGATATATTTAAAGAGATGTACTACAGCATGATGCTTAATTTACTCTACAGAACATCCACATAACAATGAATACATAGCTGAAAAGTACAAATCATTGCTATGGGGCATCAATGTGCAATACTATGCAGTACTACATTGCAAATTTAATATTAGAATATGAAAATTTTACTTCTGTTAAAAAAGACTACTGATAACATTAGTCACAACTATTACAATAACGTCAATAAAAATATATTTAAATGTTGGAGAGAATGATCTGAAATAAGGTTATGGGATTTTAAGGTGGTACAGAATTACTTTTAGAAAAAACGCTCTCCTAAAACATCAGACATCCTGGTGGCTATGAGGCAGAATCCAAATAGACTGAACAACATAAATATATTTTTCTGACCTCACAGTCTGCATCTATAAGCCTTCAGTACTACAAATTTAATCATACTGGAAGCTCATGTACACAAATGGGTGTACTTCATACACAACAATTAAAACTGACTGACCAAGCACTGTAAAAAAAGAGAGACAGTATCACTGAAGACAGTAACGATGGCTTTACTCAGTTTAGGAATGCAATTTCAACTCCTATGGATGAGAATTACTGATGAAATAAATGCAGACAATACCCAAACATATATTATATGAGATATAATACCATTATATGATATACATACCCAAATATCTGACACTCATTATTATCACCCAGAACACTGCTTTATTAAATTTGTGCTTTCAGAACAGCTTCAGAAACTTCTCCTTCCTCTCCCTCTCCCTGGTGAGGTACATGTGTCTAGCCATAAACTCAAGAGGAATGTACTTCCAGCTGTAACCTCTGGATCCATTAAAACTATTTAATTGCATTTCATATGAAGATGCTATGGCTCCCAGAGGCCCAGTTCTTAGCCACCACTTAACCTCTACAATTCCTCCCTATGCACTAGATACAACTTCTTTAATGGGTTCCTTCAGACGTATTTCCCTTTAATTGAAAATTATCAACAGACCAGGAAATTAATTTCTGGTGTGTGGGCCAAAAAAAGATTTTTATTTGTCAAACTTCAGGAACAAAAATGATTTTCATCAATATATTTAATTTGCTTGACTGGAATTTAATTTTCAGTATTTTGAAGTGTTACTTAATGTTTGATTTGACAAATATAATTAGCATTAGAGTCTCCTAGAATGCATATTCCAGAAGGATAATATAGACACTGCAATTAGTAGTTGTACTGAAACATGGCTTCTTAATATCTACAAAAATTACATGTTAACCTGTACACCATAAAAGATCCTCCCCCGCTCCCCCCAGTCAAGGAACCTAATCAAGATCTCCCAGACCTTCACTCTGCGTGCACTATACATCTATTCCTGTTCTGAAGTATGAGACACTGAAAACATGGCAGAATGCAGTGAGTACCTACACAGTAAATGGAGGAGAAAATACCCTCAAAGAAAAAGAAGTGCAGGAGTATTTACCTTCATTATAATACCCATAACAGGCAAATGCAGTATTTTCCCTGGAATTGGTGGTGGCCAACGATCAACATCGCTACAAACTTCAGGAAAAAGTATAAATTATAACTAGTTTATACACACTATAACCCATGATATTGTAGTCACCCTTGTACACATTGCAATTTTAAATTAGTGCTGATAGCCCGCAACAGTTCTACTTATCTCATGATCACTTTAAAGAAGTTTTACACCCTTTTTGACATTCTTAATGTATTATTTCATTAGAACCATAAAGGTCTCCATTTCAGGGAAACTATCCTTTTGTCTGCCAGTTTTTGTAGCAACTAGACTCACAATTAGTTGAAGAAATGTTATGTGAGAAACCATGAAAGTACATATTAAGAAACTTTGACAAGGATACACACATTTATGTACATTAGCTACTGTAGAACAGATAAACACAAGTAGCTAAGGAGAAAGCTAGCTTTCTAGCTTGGCTAGGATGTTTTTGATCATTTTGTTGTAAACAATTATGAATACCACTACTAATGCCTGTAGTTTTTGCAGAGCTTATTTTGTTCATAATACAACTTGTCAAAAAAAACCCTGTTTATCTACAGGTGATTAAAAAATACAATCCCTTCCAGAAATAGCTGCTCAATGAAACCACAAACACATCAATCCTGTGTAGGGCAGACACAGTACAAAGAACACAGCACTTCTTGGGAAAGAGCACATAAATTTTGCATTCGGCCCTCTCTGGCTCTTAAAGTTCTACAGTAAGGCTGAGGCACCTGTTATCAGTGCTGCTCTGTCGCTTTTTCCCTTTGGTCAAAAAAACCAACCAAACAAAAAACCGCAAAAAAACCCACACAAGATGACATTTGTACAGCTGCTTAACAGAAGTTGTCAGAATGCCCAAAAGCACTTTATTTGTGAAGAGTGCAAACTAAGGATTGTCATCAGCTACTTGTGCTGGGCAGCTGGTCCCGAAACATCCAAGAAAACTAGATGGTTTTTAGGGTGGAGCTTCAACTCTCCCAGAGGACCTAAAATTAGACTAGCTCCGTTCAGTGATCTAGAAATCAAGCCAGTTTGCTGAAGTTTCAACCCTCTACCCTGCAAGAAGACAGAAACACAAACTAGAATCTGACACTGTTGTTTGTTATTTCTCCAAAAGAAGTATGTGATATTTTAAGAGCTCTTCTAGAACAACATAACAGTACCACTACCTGCTTCCAGGAAAGCTTCACTTTTTTCAAAATATTCTGGTGCTATTTGCCTAAGCATGGTGCGAAAGAGATGGACATAAGGTAGCTTGCTGATGAGGACCAGTGACTGGAATAAAGAGTAAAAAAACAAAAATATAATTTTAAGTTAATCCTTTCCCTCAGTTCTATTGCAGTTCTGTTGATTATCCTCAGAGAACACCAGGTGTGATTTTTCTCACACATGCAAGCCAACCACATGTCTGACTACAGGCAACTGCCAACAAACAACTCCCAAAAGTTCCATCCTTTTTTTTTAAAAACACACAAAAAAATTCTGTTCTCACAGTGCAGCTGGAACATCACATAGCTGATGTAAAATCAGACCACCTTACTATAAATCAACAACAAATTTAGTTAAGAGAGCAAGATACTCTTCCTGCTCCCCTGAGGTCACTAAAACATAACTAATTTTTGAATTATTATTTTCGTAAAATAATTGAAATTACCTTCTGGAAATAGCCTCTTTTTAATGATTTGTCTCGAACTTGTCTGAAATATACATAGCCATAGTAATACGCTGGATCTTTCTGCAAAAGAAAATAAAGAATTCAATACAACAACCTGATACTGTCCTTCTTTCCAAAGCATCCAATATGCATTTTAAAAGTCTATTTCCCTGCAAGCTCCAAAGCTGATTAGATATAATAAACTAGAAGGATTACTCTGTTTATTGCATTATTTTTTTTAATGAGTACTTCAAAGGAAAAAAAAAAAGTGCGTGGAAACAGCTGTGCCTTCTGGCTTTACTATTTTTATATCTACTTTCTCCTGACAAACCATGAAAGCAAAAATAGAATTAATTTCCTGAGAAATAAATCAACACCCATAATTTTGCAAAGTAGCACTAAAAAGATTTCAGCAGTTAAAAACCTTAAGGCAAAGCATGGATGTGAAAAGATAAAAACTGGATTTCCAATGTATTAGTTTTATGAAAGATTCTTGAAATATTAAAGAAGCACGCTCTCACATTTTATCCTTCATCAATTTCACCCTTCCGACAAACAGGAATTCAAGTATTTGCCACATAAAGAGATCTAAATTGAACTTGAAAATCAGAGTTTCTAGACAGTAACAAAATAGGTCTGGTCTTCAATTTAATTCCTTGCAGTCCAAAACCCATAGTAATAAAGCTTAAAAGAATAATTAACAGAACTGATTATTAGTTACTTATTACGATAATGACATGCTACAAAAAATTTTTGCTGAGCTTTGTCTTTCAGGACATCCAGTTCAGAGATTCTGTTTTTCAAGCACTAAATTTAAGCATGAAGATCTATAAATTAGCATTACACAAAATAAATTAAGGTCATTTCTTCTTATTGCCAACCTTTAAGTAAACTGGTAGATCTCTATCCAATTGGTCCAGAAAACAACACAGTGAGACTTTCCTTCCAGGAGACCGTCGAAATCTAAAACAAAACTGTGTGTCCCCAAGACAACCTACATAGGGGGGGAAGAGATAAACAACAAACAGACAGTATGCTGAGCCTGAGCCCTGTTTAACATGAGGACTTGTTTACAGGCAAAGAGGTATAATAGTTTTGGTTCATTTATCTTGCACTCCTGTTGTGCCCTGCTATTGCAGCCATTTATACATTCATATAAGTGAACAATTTGGCATCTTTGGCAACAATAAATATCTTACCTTCAACAAGAAAAAAAAAAATTGCTCTGCCTCACAGTGAGTTTATTAGACTTATATCCTTAACAGGTCTACTAATGGTTGTCCTCCTACTGTTATGACACGTTTTATTGGTCTGCCTGTATTGTTCTGATCATCTTAACAACGTCATTTCTCTGTTGAGTGACTGTACTTAGCCTTTTTTTGACACCAAACAGTTCACTCATAAGTCACACTGTAAGAGTATTGTGCTGATCTCTTATAACTCCATGTGCGGGCCTACGACTCAGTATTTTTGAAAGCCACAAAACTAACTGCAGAAAACCAAGTAAACCTGAGTACTACTTCCTAGTAATACTCCCAAGCAGTGAAGTTTCCCTTAATTTCTACCAAAATTAATTTCTGAAAGAAAAATGTAATTATGTATATTGACTATGTGCAGTCTGAAAATAGATTTGGGCTAAGTTTGTATCAGATATCAAAGAAACTTTCTTCAGGTGGAACATGAGAACTGCAGTATCAGAACTTGCATCACTGATACCTCTCATGGCTGTGTTCTCGCTATTATAAGTTCTGTCTGCTGTTAAAAGAAAAGCTCCAAAAAAACCTTTAGTTAAAGTAGAAGCTATGTAAACTGAACAGAACGTTAAGAACACATGGGTATGTTACTCTAGCAAACCTGTAAAAAAAAAAAAGTCCCTTTGGAATGCAGTGTTATTACCATGAACACAATCAACTGAAAGGCAACCTCCTGGTAAGTGGACTATCTTCGCCATAACAATGTAAATGTTCATGTAAGTGACTATAAAAATCAATCTACTATAAAACTTATAGCTACTGTTACAGCAGTAAATTTCTGGCTGGCAAAGGACACTTGTTTTTCTATGTTGAATCTAACTTCTTCATTGCTGCTTTGCTCTTACAGCTTTCGGAGATAGTTTGCAAAGACCTCCAGGAAAAAAGTCATGAAGTCACTGCTGATCATCTGAAAGCTTCCCAGCTGTCTTGTCTCATATCAGCCAGTGCTAACTGACTACACAGTAAGGCAGAGCTCCATTCTCCAGATAACTATTCTTCAGACTTAGAAGGTCAATTTCATCTTCTCTTCCAGTCACATACATATTGCTGCTGCAACCACAGACAGCCCAAACCCTCAGTCAGACTCACTGGCTGTGCAACTGGCAGGGTGGACTAATGCTGGCATGTTCAGCACACTCGGGTCCGAGTCTTAGAAACCTTTGAAATCGCAGCGAGAAACCCAAAACACACCAAGACAAAACCAAAAGTAGCAAAGCACTGTGATGGGATAACCATCCAAGCCAAACAGGTAAGTAAAGCAAGTACTTAGCAATATGGACCAAATCAGAAGAAAAAGCACAGCACATGCCAGCAACACAGCGCTAAATATTTGCTCCAAGTTTTCATAGCTAGTTCCCTTCATCCAAAGCAAAAAAAAAACCCCAAAAAAACAAAAAACAAAACAAAACAAAAAAAACCCAAAAACTATTATAAAAAGCTATACAGAGGATCTAAAAGATTTTTTCCTGATGAAAGTAAAGCCTCCCTACATATACCTATTCTGCCTGAAATAACCTTACCGCCACTTATTTTAAAAAACAAAATTTTAAAAACTCAACCTTTGTTCCTAACACATTATTTTGTACCTTCAATACACTTTGTGAAGGTTGGACAGATTTACAATCATTAACAACATGACCAATAAGAAGATACAGTTAACCATCTCTCTCAACAATAGAAAGCAGCTCTTCCTCTATTTACATACAGGATATCAACAACAGAGAAAATATCTTAATTGTAATGACATTAAGACAAAGGGGAAAAATTAGCCAAGATATTCTGTAATATTACATAAGAGAGAGCTTACACACATTAAAAGCATCACCTCATACCAGAATTGTTCTGCTGCAGAGCAACCAAAAGCTCAAAGTAAGAGCAATTATAGGCACAAGTGTGTTACTACAGGTTTTGACTTTTGTAAAGAAATTAATGTAAAAGGAAGTGTCTGTACTTCTGCCATATCTTTTTGCAGGTGTTCCAAGTCATCAGCCACATGCCTCCTATTTCTCTTTGGCAGCAGAACAGTAGAAGTTTAGATTAAAGAAGAATTTAGCAAGCAGGACCACACACACAGCAACAGAAGCATCAAGAATAAAGAATAGCCTAGGTCTTCCCTTCACAACTGTTCTTTTTAAATGCGTTTGAATTTAAAAGTCAGTTTCACTGTTATGAATTTAGAAAATACACATTTACTCATTTAAGAAACAATGGTTCCATATCCCTTCCATTTGCTTTATTAAACCATTCATATTCTGTGCCTACACTTCTCTCTAGTATGACATTATTATTTTGTTTAAAAGTGTGATAAAGACATTAATTCTTTACTTGCAAAGTATTCTGAAACATCTGCATGTGTGTCATGTATAAGGTCTTACAGAGTCACATTCCTGACATTTTGTTTATATAAAAAAGACTTTTCTGACCTCACTGCAATACAGACAATTACATTTTACACTTAAACTTACTTACAACTTTTTTGCATTGTAATATTGATATTCATAGAAGCATTTAAACTAAAACTATTAATTTATATTGTCTGATTCATCTTTTTTAACATTACTTAGTCCAACAACAGACAACTACAGAGTGAAGGAAGCACTTACCTGAATTAGAATCTGGAAAAGACAAATAGCAAATATTGGTTTTCTAAAGGGTAGGGAAAAGAAAAGAGAGCTGTTATATTGCCTGAAACTACTAAACTAAAAACAAATTATAGACTTACACAGCAACCATGGCTTACCTCTTTATCTGTGAGTTTTGAATGTGGAGGATATATTACCTACAGGAAAAAAGTATTATTTTATTTGAAAATAAACTGGGTATAAGCAGTAAGCTTCTATTAAATATTTTTATGATAGAACCCTCAAACACCTGCCTAGCCTTTATGCTATTTTCAATTGTAAGCTATTAATATTATATCACTGTTATTATTTTTCATATGCTTTCAAGTTAATTTGATCATCCATCTTTACAGGGTATTTTGGATGCCAGCTGGAGACCATACAGATAAATGAAAAAAGTTCAGAGTACTTGAGGAGTTTAGTGCAACAGGCCTCAAAGAAGAGCAAGATTACACCTTTTAGCTTTAACTTGTCCATAAAAAATGCAGTAGATGATTCCACAGAAAGTCAATAACACATAATTGTCTAAAATCTGTTGCAATGGATAGTTAGGTAGAAGCAATCAAAATTCAATCACAAAACACCCTCCATATTAATACTAACTCTTGGAGGATGAACATTGGCCCCAAACAAGAGCTGGAAACTGTGAAAGCTCAAGGAGTACACTCAAAAAGACTTTTGTACTGACAGAAAAAAGTACATTTACTTAATACTTTTTTACAATGCAGAAATAAAAAATGATGCAATACAATGCAAGATAGGGAAGCACCATCATTTAAAAAAACCTGGATGTACACAATCAGTGATTATGCAAGTGAAAAAAGAATATACAGGAAAGAGGATAAACCTGAGATACTTAAATTTCAGCTAAAAAGTTCCTCAGTGCACCCCCCCCCCAAACTACTGAAATGGGTGGGCTAGCTTGTAAGCAAATGAAATTAAAAATAAATTCAAAGATTATGTTTCAAAGAAGGTTTCAGTGCTTTTGTAGATGAGAACTTCTGCAAGAATAGAAGTTCAATGCAAGAATACTAACTTAAGTCTAGAGTCCTAATATTACCATACTGTTAAAATCCAGTTATCTAATTTTATCTTGTTCGATAAAACATGGAGTAATGTATCTCCTGATAATTTAATGCTGTCCTACTCCACAGAAAAAAAGAAATATATCCACTGGCTGGTCTCTGACTAAGCAGGCTTTCTGTCCCCTGGCCATAAAGTCTCCAATTCATTTCTTCTCCTCAGTCCTCTATCCAACGATGTTCAGGAATACAACAGTATACAACAGAATACAACAACTACTAGTATAACTAACGCTAAAAGTATGCAGGTGTTCCACCCATATATCTACTGCATCTAGTAAACCTATCATAATCTTTTTTTAATATCTTAACATTTTCCTATGCCATCTTATACTAAGCAATACTCTTAAACGTAACTTTTTCAGCAGCTGAATGATGCTGAAATGATCTGCATCTAGTCAGATGACTGGAGTACAGTCCTTTTCTTCGGTAACCACTGCATCTTCCCAGAAGTCAGGAAGAAGAGTAAAACCAGTTCTAACTGTTACCTCTACCCTGTCACATCTGCCCAGTACAGATGGCTGTATCAGAATGATGTGGTGATAATGAAAGCAAGCCCAGCTCAGGTGAAGTTTTAACAGATTTTGCAATTTTCTGAACAACCTTACTAAAGAAATCCAAATAGAAAAGAGCATGAACACCACTCCTGTGAGCTACTCCTGTGCTTGCTGTTCATCACCAGGTGTTGAAGATGAAGCTGCCTATCAAAAGCACAAAACAAAGGGCAAAAGACAGGATGTCAAGAGAGACACAAAGCAGCAGAATTAGCAGAGATCATCGCTTCCTAGTTTCCAAATGTTTGCCTACATAAGCTAAATGTTCTTTACATGTATTTTATTTCCCCCAGAAATAACAATCTGCTGAACAGGAAACAACAACAAAAAAGCCTAACTTGTAAGTGAAAGAAAATTAACTTGAAAAGTGTGGCTATTGGAGGAAATATAACTTTGGTAACTGATGACTTGGGAACTCTTTGCCGCAAACAGTCATAAGAACTTTCTTCTAGAATTGCAGATTTGGGTGAGAAAACTGCTTCTGTCTAACGAGATTCCAAGAAAAAACAAAACAACATCTTGTGTGTGTATGCAACAAAAGAAACATTTGCTCTGCATTTCCATGTCATTTAATTTTCTGTAGTGTTAAGTAACCTAACTGTTAAGGATTCTAACTGAAACTAAAAGCTAATTATTCTTCCCGCAGCAACAGAAGTGAAAAAAATCAGGCCTTTGTTATGTAGACGTTTTATAAGTTTCATTTTATGTGTCCATTCAACTAAAATTAATGGCACTGTTAACAGAGTTGTTTGCAGACAAGACAGAGGCTACTCTCTGCTTCCCTCCCACTCAACATACCTGCTTAAATCACAGGTTATAAAGAAATTCTTGTCTTTATTCCCAGCAACACCTTATAATATTAAGTAAATACAACTCAGATAATTAGCACAGTATGCTGGTTTCTTAGTTGCATTTCTCCTGCAGCCAACAAAGCATATCAACTATGTATTTTAAATATTGTAACAGCTAACTTGGTTGAATTTAGGCCAGTCTGCCATACATTTATAATAACACCTCTTTTAAAAAAGGAAAAAAATAAAAAAAATATTTTTCCTGTACACCAGCTGTTTGCTGCACAGTCACACGGTGAAACAGGATGTGAAACTGATCCAAATGATAATTATTCCTTCTAGTTTATTTTTCAGCCCAATCACTTCCCTAACGCAGTTCCACCATTCAGTTTCATAGATGTCTGCCTGTTGCAGAAAATGGCAAAGAGCAGCAGGGACTTAAAAAAAACCTGCCCTTTGTGGCAGCATCACTAACGCATCATCACAGTTTGACATTCATTTAATGGTGCAAGGAAAATCTTTCAAACATTTAAATAATTTATTTGCATACCTCAGCGATCTGGAGAAAGCGGTTAGTTATGAACCCTACTTGCACTCACGCGGTTCTCCTACTCTTAAGTTCTTTACCATCTAGACATTACGGAAATCAGGGCTATTCGCGTTCAAAGCGACCTGACGATGTATTTAATACAAATCTCAGCACGAGATGAAGTCCCTTCACAACGGCACACTGACACGACAACCAGCGCACCGAGCACCGTTGCTGGAAGACAATTACCCTCACCTGGCGCTCCGGGACCGCT